CCACCCGGCTGGCGAAATAAACACGCAGGGCAGGCAAAAAACACGCCGGAACCATAAAATTATTGGATCCAAATTCATATGGTCAAGAATCTAAGCCTTCTAAACTAATAATAAACTATATATATATATATATATATATATTTGATCTTTACCGAAAGGAACTTAAAATCTACATTCATGATTTTATGCAGGAACAATCTGCACGACATCGCAGTCCTTTATATCAGTCATCGTTCGAATCAAGAACCTGCTGTTTAAGAACTTGAAGTTTAGCAACCAACTCATCTCTATTTTCCTGCACAACAATAATCAACATTAAGTATATATTTTAAGGTCTGACTGGTTAATAAGTCGACATTTGAAGCTAATAATTTATAGTTACCTCGAATATTAGGTAACGAGAGCTAAACCAAATTGTGTATCCAAAACCCACAATTACCAGCAACTTCGGGAACTGCTTCAAATGGCGAGCAACATCAATATCCCAGAAAAGGGTATTAATTCATAATTGTAATTCAAGAAACTCACATGGAAAGTATGTTTGGTGACATACCAATGGAATAGAATCAATAGCTCAAACGACAGCTGATGCTAACCACAGAGCAAGCAAGGCACCACCACTGTATAGCAAAAGGCTGTACGTATCATCACGATCCAACTGCAATTAGTCAAAGTGCAAACCATCAGTACGACTTTTTTATTTTCTTTTGGTAGGAAGTAAACCATTTTTGTGATAGGGTATTTGCAATTGTGTTTAGAAACATGGTTTTATTTATGTTGTAAGCTATTACTTTCTTATATATATATATATCTAAAGATCAACCAAAGAAAAAACAGATGTAACAAAATACTTCTACCAAGGGCAATAAGGACAGAACAGAGAACAAATTTGAGTACTGAACCAAATCAAATATCGTCTTGCTCAGGTAACCACTCAGAATCAACAAGATTGTCAAAGTTCCATTGAGCATTCTTAGAAACTCTAAACTGGTACTGAATCATCATCGCAACCATTCACCAACAACCAAAGACAACAAATGAAAAACAAAAACTAACAAAGGGAGTTGATGCATAACAAAGAGAACAAATTTGAAGACTGAACCAGACCAACATGTCAAGTTGCTTAGGTAATCGCTCAGAATGATATGATTGTCAAAGTCCATTGGGCATTCTTATATACTCTTAACTAGTTACTGAATCATCATCATAACCAAAGATCACATAAAATTAATAAAATAAAGAAACTGGTAGAACTCGGGCAAAAATCAAACATGAAATTAGTACAACAGTAAAACAAAGAAAAGGCTACCACGACATTACAATGTATGAAAGCACAAAGCAAGTTAGCTTTTGCTTCCTAACTGTTTGGGCGCAAAATAATAGTATTGGGCCGAGTGTAGGTTTATGTTCGGCCCAAAGCTGTTTCAAATATACTATGGGCTGCTTGGTGGTCTCGGGCCATTCAGCAAGGATGGTCGAGTCCTATCGCAAGAAGAAGTAGTTCGGATGAGCAAAAGGGTCGAAGAAGTCCTAGTGCAATTTGGATTCCCGACCAACAATGAATATGGCCTCAAAAAGGGGGTGAGTTCAAAGTCCTAATAGGGGTAGGATTGGTCAAAGTGGAGTTAGAACAGAAAAAGAAGTCCCAATCTAGATATGATCTTGACTTGATCTCAAGGAGGATTTGGTGCTATAAATACAAGACATCATGCAACAATCATAGGACCTCCAATTTAACACACAATTGCCCTGCGCAAAACCTCTCAAACCTCTTGAGATTTTTTTTACTTTCTTTTTCTGCCAACACACCTTCAGTTTGGATAAACAGCATTGTGAAGGCAACCGACGAACACCTTCAGTTTGCATAAACAACACTGTTGCCGTAGAATCAGCCGACTGAAGAACACCTTCAGTTTGGATAAACAGCACTGCATCGAGTTCGACTGGTTACCTATCCAAGTCTCGGTAGAGAAGGGTTTCTGAATCCTTATTGGCAGAGGTCATCTTATTAGCCTTTTTGGCGAAGTAAAGTGTTACGAGTTACGATATTTGGCGCATTAAACACCGAGTGGTTTTACGATTGGAAACTCCCAAGTGAGTTTCAGAGTTCAGCATTCTGAAGGCCGAACCACATTTACCGTCAAGACACACATTACCTTTGAATACTTGTGTCCATATAGTCTAGTGTCGATTCGACGTGCTTATACTCTCATTAATATAATCACCATCACTGAATCCGATGCTGACGATTCGTGAACTTCGTAGAACTAGCAGCCTTGTCTTCAGGCTCAAGAATCCAAAGGCTGAGATTTGTTCCTTCCTCGGTCGCAGTCGCAAGATAAAGAAGTCAGCAACACACTCAACGCAACATGAACAAATTTTACTCCTCGGCCGACGAGTTGGCATGCCTTGCATTCAACTGAAGGATGTAGTTAGCTTATTAGTTACTCAGCCTGCGCACCACGTAGGCTTTGTAATTTTTAGGATCAACATTTTGGCACACCCGGTGGGACCCAGTGCTAAAACTACGAAGTTCATATGATATATCAAGATTCCAATCTGGCTCAACGTAGCCGATTATATGAGCGTCTAGAGGAATTGAAAAAACACAATGAGGAACGAAAAAGATCTTTAGAAGTGGAAAAAATTCTTCGTGGCCATACATAGATGTAAAAATCATTCGCTTACATGTTGAGAATAAAAGCTCCTGTTACCCTCCAAGAGCAATGGGTAAATGAAGACATGGCTCAGTTTAATATCTAGCTAGATGGAAAATATTTTCCCTACGTTTTTTACTACAAATATTTTCCCTACGTCATTGTCCCCAAATATTGTTTTACTACAAATTGTTACTTTGGCCGAAGAACAAAGGCCACCAATTTTTTTGGTCGAGACGGAAAATATGGTCGGCCAAGAAGAAAAACCTAGGCCACCTATTTTTTTGGTCGAGGCTGAAAGTGTGGTAGGCCTAGAAGAAAATGTTCAAGTTTCTGAGCCAAAAATTGACTCATAAAATAATTCGTCAGAAAAGTGTTCCAATGACGAACAAGACCAATTCATGGTTTTAGTTGAACAAACCATGCCAATCAATATGATTATTGGTGATAAAGCCGATATGGAGCAATCCCGTTAGGCTCAGTTGCTTGGGTTAGAAGCCGAAATCGGTGAAATTAATATGCCTAGGGGGCATAATAATTGTCCAATACATTCGGCGCCCGGAAATGAAAAATATTCCGCCGAGTCAAAAATATTTGAAGAAAATTCTTTTCTCGGCCTAAAGCGAAATCAATTTGAGAATTTTGATGTAAAAAGATCTCGGCTCGGAATAAAACATTGTTGGCCTCCTCCACTTTATGGTTCGGCCACTTTTATTTCGTTTGCTAATATATATATATATATATATATATATATAATGAATAAATTATTTTCTTAACCATTCAGCTCCTTAGCCGATGCATAAGAAATTAAGGAGGCTACATAGTGGATACACCACGCGGGGTGAATTCGGTACAACATCCTGCTTAGTGAATTTTTATTCGGTGAGGAATGCCTATTTTTTCTTAGCGATCAGGGAGTGTACACTGGAGAGTTCTTTGCTTTACAGCATCACTTCGTTTTCGGCAATACGAGGGGTTTTTTGACTGCGCTAATTTCCTTAACCATTCGGCTTGCAAGCCGAAGTTCAAGGAAACTAGGGGGCATACGACCTTAAAGACCAAATTGGTTTAGTTCATAAACTACCAATCAACGGAAAATTCTTAAAGAAATACTATCTAGTCATATGGGAGATGCGAGAATGATTATCATTGTATTGAATTCATAAAAGGACGTACATATACATTTACAAAAGGCTCCTAAAAATTCTAAGGGGTCGAGGGGAGAAAGGTTTCAAGAGAAGCCTTCAACTCCAACCACCTCTTAGTATGATCTCGGCCTGCCTCGTCTTTTATTGAGTTGAAGCTGTTGGATCTACTTTATGCCGACCGCTGAAAGTCATTAATCGAGCCTTGTTCGCCTCAAAATCCCTCTCGAGCTCTGAAGCAACAACCGACCTTTGTTGTTGAAGCTCGGTGATTTGACGCTAAAGCTCAGAAATTTGGCAATCAAAATCGGTCATCTGTGCCTTCTTTGTTTTTATTGCCTCGACCTCTAAGTAGACATGCGTGAAATTGATCTGCTTCAGGAATTTTCAAGAGGAAAGGAAAGACAGAAATTCACCAACGACCTCCGAGCCAACAATTTCCCAATACTTCTGGAAAAAAAAAATGGAGGGGGGAAGGAGCCATTCAGACCCGGTGCAGTGCTGGTCTTCATGTCGGAAACAACCGCCTTAATTTCTCAGAGAAGTTAAGATTTAGCAAAGTACACATCTCATAGTTCAGTTTTGGTTGAATAGCCTCAATTACCTCATCGTCACCCCAATTGTATTCCGAAGTGAAGAGGTCCTTAAAGTAGTCCAGGACAACTGACTCGAAGTGTAGATAATATCGTTTGTTTAAAAAAAAAAAAATCAGCAATTGTATTAGATTGGTGTAAGGAGTATGTGAAATTTTTTTTGTTTTTGTTTTCTTTTAATGTGATTGTTACAGTACCACGTTTTTACATCTCCGAATATGGACTGACGTGCGCATGTTGGATAGGAACCAAACGAAAGCAACAGAAACCTGTAACGAAAGGCCATTGGGCTTTTTGTGGGATTGAAAATACAACGACCTGGCCTCCCGGCCCAAGCCAGCCCTCGCCGAATTTGACCTTTTTCCAGATCCAAATTTGTTCCCACGTTCTATCCTGTTCTCATAATTATGGTCCAAACGGACAACCACAAACCACTCCTACGCCCAAGACAACGCTACTCGCTACACCCGTCGTCCAAACGACGACGTTTGGTGTCCCAAACGATCCCCATGAGCGAGTATCAAACAATTTCATACTCTCAGTCGTAGGCCAATCCCCAGCAGTAAACGTACCTTTTCGACCAAAGTTGTTCAAAATCAAACGAATCTCAACCCCTCTCGCTCTCCGGTCGCACTCACCTCTTCCTCCTCTCTCCAACTCTCTCACTCCTCAGCTCCTCCAATGGCTTCCGCCGTCCCAGAAAACCTCAGCCGCGAGCAGTACGTGTACCTGGCGAAGCTCGCCGAGCAGGCCGAGCGCTATGAGGAGATGGTTAGCTTCATGGAGAAGCTCGTGGTGAGCTCCACCGCCGCCGGGACAGAGCTGACGGTGGAAGAGCGCAATCTGCTCAGTGTCGCCTACAAGAATGTCATCGGCTCGCTCCGCGCGGCCTGGCGCATAATCTCGTCGATCGAGCAGAAGGAGGAAGGCCGTCGCAACGAGGAGCACGTGGCGCTCGTCAAGCAGTACAGATCCAAGGTGGAGACTGAGCTCTCCGCCATCTGCGCTGGAATCCTGGAGCTCCTGCAATCGCACCTTGTTCCTTCGGCGACCACCGGAGAGTCCAAGGTCTTCTACTTGAAGATGAAGGGCGATTATCATCGATACCTCGCCGAGTTCAAAAATGGCGACGAGAGGAAGACTGCCGCCGAGGACACCATGGTTGCATACAAGGCTGCGCAGGTACTTGATTTAGCTTTCTCTGTTTTCGCGTTTTCGAAATTCAGTTAATTATCATTTTAATTTTGCTTAATTAGATTCGATTCGATTCAATTTGATTTGTAATTTTGTATTTAAGGATATTGCGGCGAGTGATTTGGCGCCCACGCATCCAATAAGGTTGGGGCTGGCGCTCAACTTTTCGGTGTTTTACTACGAGATCCTCAACTCCTCGGAGAAAGCTTGTAGCATGGCTAAACAGGTTTGGACTGGTTATGAAATTCTTCATTTTATTGATTTAAAAACTTGTAATTCTTTGTTTGTTTTTCATTTTGTAATACTTGATCATATATGGATGAAAGAGGAAACACTGGAGGATGTTGAATTCGAGAATGCGCGTGAAAAAAGTCAATTGCTTTTACCTGTCTAGTTATTTGTTTGTTTGGAATTAAGGCACCTTCGTATGCATGGAGTTGAATAAGTATTGGAAGATGTAAGCTAAAATAGTTTTGTGTACAGTAAAAGTCTTTCAGTTATTCTGAGGAAACACTTGAGGTAGTTGTATTTTGCTCCATGAGTGCTACAACTGTATGCTTTTCTGGACAGAGGTCACCTGGCATTATCATCGTAAAACCATTACTTCTTTCCGTATTTTGGATCTTAGCCGCCAAATTTTTACATTTTATTTAAAAAGGAGAAGGATGTTTCTTTTGATTGGATAAATCTTTAGCAGTGGTTTACAACACTCCAACCTGGCCTCCTCCATGCCCTTGAATTTCAAAAATCTTGCCAATCTTTTTGTTTTCCACATCCCCATATTTCGGCAACAATCAATTATTTTATTTTAACCTTTTTCTTTCCAGCTATTTTTGGGCTAGGAGACCACCATGATATTTTCTTTTTGATTTGATATAATTGAATATGAATAACCTATCGCCAACATCTCCCAAACTTCCTCTACATCGCCAGTTTATCACGCATCAGTCTGAATAAGCACAAACACCAGTACGAATGAAATGGAGGAGTTTCGAACTGCTCCCACCACTTAGTTACTCTTTGAACACCTCTCTCAACCGTCCTCATGCGCATTTGTGTCATTTATGTTAAGTGTATTTGTTGTCAAAGAAATAGGCTAGCTGATGAGTATGCTAGCTGACCAATTTGTGGCTTGCGACACATAAATGATTGTTAATCTAGACACTTATTCTTCTGTACTTATAAACTGCTATTCGCATGCACATTAACACATAAGTCTTATAAATTGTTATTGTGGTGTATTTGATCAAATTTCAATAATCGGTAAACATTTTCTGAGGGTACTTGTCCGCACGCCATTGTATTCACTTCAACTCACTATACAATTTAGTTCCTCCTATTTTTTTGTCCATACAGTTTCATTGAAAGTTTCCATTTTGTTCTAACAATTTCCATTGTTTCTCTTGAATTCTTACTGGTATCTATAATCGACGTCTCCAATGAAAGTTGCATGTTTTGGACCTTTGATATTTTTGTTGGGGACAAGGTCTTAAATGTTTTAATGGCAAAATAAATTTTTTTTAAGACCTTCTCCTTGTCGGTATTTGGGGATTCTGGCATGTATTGGGTGGAAAGACATATTGCATTACATCACACATGCTTGGATAAGGCACCATAAATTAGCATTTATAATTTGGTATAAATTAACTCAACTTCTTGTGAGAAGCAGTATGACATTAGCGCATCAAGACAGGCTACGATTTGGTTGTTATTCTTTATAGTATCTTCAGCAATTGCTGCCTTCAACATAGTATGATTATTACTTTGGTGACATGAAAAGTACGTCTTTGTATGCTATACGCTAATGGTAGTTTTGGTAGAGCTAGTGGCAGGAAAGAACTTTGACTATCTTGTTCCAAGGGGTGTCTGATTAAATTTATTCATCAAGGGAATTTCTCTTTTCCCCCTTGGGTTTCTTTTGCTTGCATTTTCAGATAGATGGTTGGGAATTATGTGTCTATACGTGGGAAGAAGGGAAAATGTTAACTAGGGGAACTATAAAAAGACCAACCAGCTAGGAAAGAAGCTAAGCTTGGCACCAGTTAGCAAGACAAACCAAAAGCAGGAGACACAGATTGAATTGACTAGGAATAGAATAGTTATGCAGCAATATCACTTTTCCTCAATACCCTATGTGTGCTCTTCTATGTGACATACATGCAAAACATAATTTATCGCATGGATTTTACAGTATGTCAATATGGTCAATGCTCTGCGGTGTTCCAAAACATTAGAAATTGGAATTCTGCATCCTTATGTCTGAGTGAGAGGGGGTTTCATCTCAGTTGAGGTATATTCTAGTTATAGGAAAGCAAAAGAGGCAAAGAGCTAATTAATAGTTTTAGAACTTTAGAGGGTAAGTACAAGAGCTAAGCCAAGTACATTTTGGCATTAACTAAAAGACAACTTAGGAGGCTACCCAATAATTCCCCCCAAACTATTATGGTCTAGAGAGTGAGTTTAGAATGTAAAAGCGCCTAAAGGTGCCTATGAAGCCCTTAGGTCGGAGCAACAAACCCAACCCAATGACCGCCACAGAGTGCATGCTTGCACATGAAATGATAATCAAGCTCAATGGGCGTGGTAGTTTGGAAAACAGGACCTGGAACCATCTTTTCGGCATTGAGATTGTCAAACTGGAGCTAATGAGAAGGTTGGAAATCCAAACAATCCCGGCACAAGTTTGGAAGTGAGTAGTGCACTTGAACAAAAGATGGTAGGCTCTTTTTTGGCACTACAGATGATCAGGTTGGAATCCAAAAAAACATAGAAACCAGAAGTTGCAAATTGAGACAACCAAGCCCAATTAACATTAGAGAAAAGGGCTAATAGTACATCCAAAGTTGCTTGAGACACTGTAGAATGTGGCTTTAGCCACGAGATGTGGGATCCATACACTCACAGATTGGGCAGCAGTGATGAACTGCATACTAGGATGATGAACAAATACTGTTTTAAAGTTTTGATTTGTTTTTGGTTACTTGTATTCATCTCAATTAGGTTGCATATTCTAGTTATAGGAATGTGTAATGGCCGAATTAATAGTTAGATGGAAAAATACAGATTAATTAAAAATTACAGGAAAGTGTAAAGATGTACTTTAAAATAAACTAAAGCCGAAATGCATTTTTGGCATTTACGCTGAGAAGGCTACACCTCGTTCTTTGTTTTGTCATTTGTACTTTGGTAACTCTTTATACGGTGGGTGATTCAACATATCAGCTCTGAATAACATGAAAATCTGTAGATTTTTTAAAATACCTTTTGTTATATGCAGGCTTTTGAGGAAGCTATTGCTGAACTTGATACACTGGGAGAGGAATCGTACAAGGATAGCACTTTGATTATGCAACTGCTGAGGGACAACCTCACTCTGTGGACTTCAGATTTGCAGGTCAGTGCTGCTTTTAGATGAAATATTAAGTAACTTAAGCGCGATTTGTGTGGAGGGGGATGCGCACAACAAACATTATTTTTCTGTAGCACTTAATAATTTGGCCTATAACTTTACTGTTGAATGAAAAATTGTTAAGCAAAAGAAGGTAGAGCATCATCAGAATATGTTAAATCTCTCTTGAAACCGCCAAATCAAATGTAGAATATCATGATATACGGTTTGAATTTTGATGCATAAAGTACAATGTAAATATGTTTTTAACGCGCTATGTAAATAAGAACTAAAAAAAGGTTTGCTTCCAATGCAAGCATGCTGTCCTTTAGTTTGCGATTTTAGTAATCGGGTGTAATACAAACCCAGCGATCTTAAGGTTTTGTTCTAGCTTTATAAGCCTGAAATATTTATTTGATTCTTAGTGTATGTTGATAGTTCCGTTTTTTTTACTTTCTAAATATAATTTTGTTGGGATTCAAGCAGGAGCAGATGGACGAGGCTTAAGCACGGGATTGTTATGCTCCTTGAGGGAGGTGGGCTTGAATGTCATAAATATTCTGTAATCTGCAGACAACTCTATTTACATTGATGTCCTTATGTGCATACCATGTGCTCATGTTGACCTGTTTCCTTTTAATTTGTTTGGCTTGGTAATGAGAGTAGTATATGATGATTCCTGGTACCTTTATTTTTGGCTTGATCAATGATTCCTGGTATTTTTGTGCTCAGATTTTTCGTATATGGTCCTTTGAAATCTGTCACTTTTTATAATTCTCTGAAATCCAAATTGACGACACCCCCTTGGTTGCCTCATTTCGAAGGTGTAAAGTCGTGTCAACCTTGTATTTTTTGCCCTTTGCCCCCTCTTTCATGGAGCCTGAAAATGCTTCTCATCAACCTGATGAAGCTGCTTGTTTGATTCAATTTAGGATGTTTTTCATTTAAGAAATGGGTTTGTGTGCTGGGGAGAGTTTAGTCATCTCCTAATTTGTTGCTAATCATTTCATTTCAACAATATCTACTTGCCACTTGGTATTACGGTTTAAGTTTGTGTGGTAGGTTGTTGTTTGGATCTCCCTAGTTCGAGACACTAATTTTTTTTAATGACCAACACGTGGGTTAGCCTAAAATTCTACCCTCTATATTTAACTTAGGCGAAGTAGGAGAAGCTCTCGGTTGTGGAATTCCCGGCCGTGTTGCTGCCCAAGGTCGTGCACAAAACACCATGCTGTCCCATCCATCCCCTTGTGTCCGGTGATCTATATGCGACCCGAATATTTTATCGCTAAGTTGTCGGAAATTTAACTATGCTCAGGTGTACCGTGTACCTCAAAAAATCTGTGATTTGCAAATACCAAAGTATCTTTTTATGACTGATGAATCTTTGTGGAATTGTAAGCAGCTCAAACATGATGAATCTTTGTAGGAATCGTTAGACTCTAATTTAGGATCGCATATTCAATCATTCCAATTCACGACAACATGTCTTTTTTTTTTTTTTTTTTTTTTGTTAATGCAATGATAAGTTACACTAAGGATTTTGTTTGCTGTTGGTGCCCCTTTTAGTCCTCACATTTGTGGATTTCACGTATGCGGTGGTGGGTCGGATTCTTCTTCGAGTCATGTTTGACTCATCCTTTGATAGCTTCAAGGTGACGCGTGTTGCTAGTTCCGGTAGGATGCTACAATAACATCTTCTACAGATCTCTGTTGAGGCTTTGGTCTCCTCTTTGATTCACCGGTTTCTGGCGGCGGCTGCAAGAAGATTGAAGAAGTTGCTAGGATTTCTTTGTCATCTACTTTTCCTGTTATGCGTTCCAATTTCGGCTTTGGGCTCAAACTTCTGTTTACATGGAAGGTCTTTTCTTTTGTTTTGTGCTTTTTTTTTTATTATTTTTGGGCCTTTGTAATCTTGCTTTGATGGTAAAGTAATTACCCTTGACCGAAAAAAAAAAAAAAAAAAAAAAAAAGGAGAAGGGATTTGAGGTAAGTCACATAATATGTCTATCATAATAATTTGGTATTAAATTTGTAATTTATAAGATTTGAATCTAAGACCTTGTAGAAAAATATCTATCATTAGACCGTAGTACTAATTGGTGTAGCAACATGTACTCAAAAACAAAAATGTCTGCATAAATATATGAGAGAGTCTTCTTTACTTTTTCATTCAACAAGAATTGCCGATGAAATTTCTGAACTCAAGAATCCCAATAAGTGGAGACTAAGTCAACTTAGGAATTTTGAAAGATTTTAATAAATTTTGTGAAATAATGAATTTCATAGGATTATGAGACTTCTACAAAATTCATATGGATTTTGGAAGATTTGAGAAGATTCATATAACAAGTTTCTGCAGATTTTGTAGATTTTACAATGTTGAATCTTAACCGTCAAATAAATCAAATAGTAATAAATATATCTAGGTCATAAATAAAAAGTCAAGATTATCATATAAACCTAACTTCTCAAAAGTCTCCAGCTGCACCCCCTTTCCAATCCTATTTCCTCCCCACTTTATTCTTCTCTCTTTTCCGTTCCAGTTAACCTCACTCCTCCAATCCTTTGTTTTTTGTCAATGTTCCTCTAATCTTGTTTTCCGCGACTCTCTCTTACTCCTCTTCCTTCACAACCCAATTCCAATTCCCCTTCGCTGCCATGAAGAAAAAATTGCACAAAATTGCAAAAAGAATTGTAGAAAAATTGCAGAGATGAAGAAAGAAGATGAAATGTGAGAGGAAGAGGGAGAGGTTCTTGGATCTGAAACCCTAAGAAGATAAAGTGTGAGAGGAAAAGGGAGAGGTTCTTGGATTTTGAAATCCTAAGATGTAAGGTAGGATTCTATATAGTCTTAGTTATATATACTTCTTACTCTCAAATCTCACAAAATTCACAACTTAATGAAATCCTACAAAATCTTTAATTTTTCAATACACTAGATTTGGATGGACTTTAAAAATTACTATTAAAATCTCGACTGACTACATCGAGATTTGCATGGATTCTAAAAATCCTTTAAAATCCTTTGGTTGACTATACTAAGATTTTAAAATCTTTTAAATTCTTCTCAAATATGAATTTGACTACACCTCTCTAAATACCGCTACACCAAATGGCCACGATAATAGCCTGTTCTATCTTAGTGGAGGTATTCGTCACCTTTACTAGGCTTTGTGACACCATCAAACTGCAACTTTAAGTCCTAAAAAACTGTTTCCCCTTACTTTAAAAGACGACGTTATATACCAATTTCCTCGTGGTTGAGATCCAACTATCTTAACAATTTTGTATTATTGAACATAACAAGAAAAAAAGAAGGCAATTCTGCATCCCTGATATTTTTAATTTTTCGTAATCTATTTATAATCAAACACGTGAACACTCGACTTCGATGACTAACGCATCGATCTCAAACTCGACAGATTTTTTCATATACAAAAACAAGGTCACGTAGTGTAACCATTCCATTAAAATTTAATAAAATACATAAGTCTTATCGCATACCGATGTAATATCAGGTTTTTCAAGTATACATGAAAATTTCTCTACAAACTCGATAAGCTCGATGGACTCTAAATGAATTGCAAGTGGAAGGGAAAGGGGACAGATCACAAACGAAAACAAAAGCAGGTCCGTTACAGGACAGAGACGTTTTATTTTTATTGCATATTCATTTGCTCTCTCTCTCTCTCAGCTTGACTGTTGCTCTGGATGCTTTTGATGCTGCTTGGGCTCGGCGTTTGATGAGAGAGAGAGAGAGACGACTCTGCTCTCGAATCTCAAACACTTGACAAAAACCCTAAACATAAAAAAGGTGGTGGGGATGTTTGGACCACCACCATCTACATTTTCATGCATCTCCAGTCGAATTCGAAGTTTGGCTATTGGTAGTGTGGGTGTTGTGGAATGCACGAGGCATGAAAGGTACGAAAAATAATATATTTACATGCAACGATGACAACGTCATGTAGTGCTAATAATTCATATGTTACAATATGAACAAATGACAAATATTTAAGATAATATATTATCATCAAAATTATATGTGTTATAAGATGAGCAGACTAGTAACATCATCTGATGGTGTTAAAGCGATTCCAAAAAATATCTCACAAGATAGCTCGTACAAAGTGTCATTGTAAGGCTGCAATAAATTAAAATTTGTGATTTGGAACATGCATGTAGTAGTAAAAGTGGTTCGAATTTGGTGTTGGAGAATTTTTGGGAGCTGACCCCAAAACAAATGAGGTGGTGGAAAGGCAAACAGCCTTAAATGAGGAGGAGAGCATCTCTGGGAGAAGAGAAAAGGGTTAGAAATTTGTGTTGCTGAAGTCCAGAAAAGTGAAAAAAGATTTAAAGATCATGTTTCTTTTAGGATTAGATCTTATTTTTCGAGTCTGCTTTTTACGAATGCAGGATTTGAGTATCCTAAGTGAAGGGGATTAGCCTTAATTTTTTTTCCATTCACTTTCGAGAACATACCAGTTAAAAGATTTGAACGTTTTCTGCTTTATCAGTTAGTGGTGGAGCTCAACTAAGTTGGAATTAACTCTAACAAAATACGAGAGGCGGACAATTGAATGATTGGTCTTTTGAAGTATCCAACAAACTTCAGTCAGGTTTAGAGTCATAGTCCAACAACCAAGTGTGTTATATATATTGTATGATTCTAACAATATAAGCATGGGCAAAGCCCGATTTGTTTAATTGAGAGGGTAGCTCTCGTGATCGAAGCTATTCGAATTTGTTTCTCTCATACAAAATTCATAACTATGCTTTAAATAATATTTAAAAGAGATTCAAGGTATATAGTATATTATTTTAAATTTTAGAATCAAAGTGATAGAAGAATTATTTACGAGGTTGACATGATTGTTAGAATTGGAGATAAGGGAAGCATAAAGAAGTAAAGGAGCATTTAGGAATTTGAGAGATGTTGTGAACAAAATTATTAATTAGTAATGTGATTGTGTGAATTTAAAGTAGACTTCCAATAGAATTTGGAGATGAAATTGTCATAGGTTTTGTATTACTTGTAAGACAAGATAAGTACATCATGATTAGTATACTACTCCACCAAACGAACCTCGCACAAAAACTGTTGTGCCGCTTTAATAAGGATAAAGTGAAGCCTTCGAATACTCTCATGGTCGAACTCTAGATGCATAGATGACGATAAAAAGCTCTTGGAATCTAAAGTTTCATACCTTAGTGAAATTGGCGCTTTATTGTACTTGACTTAATGCATTAGATCGAAAATCTCCTTTGCTATGAATCTTTTGGTAAGATACATAACCCAAGGTGGCTAACTCCTTCATAGCCCAAGATGTTGGTTAAACTGCTATAGTTGACTGACTAATAACTTTAGTTTTAATTAATATTTTGGAGGTGTGATATTTACAGAGTGATTTATAATATGAGCGATTCTATTGATGAGTCAATATTATATTATATATTTTACCATATTCTTAGTATAATTTGGTAATTATTTTGGTAGAATTTTGATACTTTGTTTTATATTTTCAACATAGGACATTCGACTTTCTCTGATGCAGAACGTGATCAAACAGACGAATTATGGAGTGATTTAGATTGGAGGATGTTCATGTGTCTTTTGGCTTGTTCGTATCAAAATTTAGGTTTTTTCTACCTAGCGGTTATTTTTTGGCGATTAAGAACCAGTGCGTGTTGCTGAAAAGTGACGTTTTTGGGCTTTGATGCACTTTTT